GATCATGCTCAGTGCGATTTTGTTCCAATAATCTTTTAGATCATGTTATATAACCCTTTAGAACAATATAGAACATTCTGGAAGATTCTAGATTTTATTTAAAATGCTCCATGAAACCTATTAGAATTACTTTTCTAAGTAATTATTTTTCAAATACGAAATATTATACAACTAATTTCTACTACTATAACTATAGTATATTTAAATTAAAATAGGGGCCCCGGTGGGGGCCCATTTAATAAAGTACCTTTTTAGTTATGTCTGAGATTTGGGGCGATAAATTATAGCACTACAATTTAAATGTTCTCCCATTAAAATTGGTTTAAAAATGCCAAAGATATCGCCTTTTTAAACTATTAAACTTTCTGGAAAATTCTAGATTGGATATTATTAGTTTTATATCCACGGCTATTTCAATACGGACTAAGGGACTAGGAAGCGTAATGAACAAAGCTGGGCTTACATCCATACATTCACACAGAACCCATACCATTGTCTATCACTATTGATATTCATATAGCTTATAGAAGGAAAAATGAATTGGGGCCCCCGGCCCCAGAGATATGGATATTATGAGCTCAGTACCCTGCAGTATTTGAATATGGATGATCATGTGTATGTGTAATAAGTTTGGTCAAGATCCATCTATTCATGTAAGAGTACTAATAACGTTACTTTGGAGATGGTGTCGGTGGGTCGTCGAGTTCGCACTCATAATACCCCCCCCTCCCCGGCACTCCCCCAAACGGGCCAAGGCCAAAGCCCCAGACCGTGCGGAAGCGCGCTGGGAACTTCCCCCACTGGCCTGAGGGACGTCCGGCGGACCGATGGCGCTGCATTTAAAGCGTCCGCAGTCCACTCTCCTATGGGTCAGGACGGCTTTACTTCCTCTCCGGAGAGGTGGTGTTGCGTTACCACTCCCCACCTCCCAGGGAGCTGTCCGGTCGGGACTAGCGGGGACGAAACGGTCGCCTAGGGGCGGCTTTCTCAGGGCCGCGTCTTTTAAATCGTTGACAAGGGTTTGGGCGGCAACCCATTGCCTCATACCCATCAACGGCAACAAGTAATCATGTTAGCGCTCAACTTCCGTTGCGTTGGTAGTCATGCGTTTTGCCTGGGAGCTTTTAGCTACAGGAGGAAAACTTCCCCCTAGTAGTCGGGCACGCCACGAAGAGGCAAGATCCCGTGTAACACAACCGAGAGGCTTGTGGTGCTGAGCAACAGCCTCACAGAGCTCAGGTGCTGCCCGCCCGATGTAAGAGTACTAAGCCTATTGATATTTATATAAGGTCATATAGGAAAAAACGACATTTTGGGCCCCCGGCCCCAAATCAAATGTTATAAAAAGTTCGTAACCCCTTAAGAGTTCCTTCTGGATAATGATGGATATATGTGCCAAGTTTTGTCAAGATCCATCCATCCATGTGAAAGCCTTTGTGGAACAAACACCGCCCGCCACAAACATTCACTTTTATATATATATATATAATATCCCGTCCCCCCCCCCACCCTCAACTTGAAAGAAAGAAAAGAATAAAAATGGGCACTATCCAGTACAAAAGACTGTTTCTGGTAAGTCCTTTGTGAAACAAACACCCCCCCCCACAAACCTTCACTTTTATAAATATATATATAATATCCCGTCCCCCCCCCCACCCTCAACTTGAAAGAAAGAAAAGAATAAAAATGGGCACTATCCAGTACAAAAGACTGTTTCTGGTAAGCGTCCACCTTTTTCAGTACAGATGTGTTCATGATGGCCTACCGCCTGTCACTGTGCAAATTTGTTCACTATGGCCTACCGCCTGTCACTGTGCACATTTGTTCACTATGGCCTACTGCCTGTCACTGTGCACATTCGTTCATTATGACCAACCGCCTGTCACTGTGCACATTTGTTCATTACGCCTGTCACTGTGCACATTTGTCCATTACGCCTGTCACTGCACATTCCCCACTTCTTGGTGATTTCACGGCACCTAGTCTCGAAGTGTGGAACAATTGCTGGCAAGATTGGCTCATCCGCTGGCATCATGACTGGCAGGCGCCCGACGTGGGTGCGGCATGGGGGCGGCGTCGTGCACAGATATCTTGTTTGGATTTTATTTTGTTTAACCAGATTTTGAATGAAGCCGGGGTGCCACACTTCGTTAAATTAGCCCCAGGGGCACGGTTTCACATCAATGCATCATACTCCCCTATGTTTCAATCCCATGGCGTCCCTGCATGACAAGGTGAGCTTGGAGATAAAACTGCATTACTGTGTCACACTATCAACTGTTTGGTGTTTATTTATTTAAGAATGAGCTATGCTGAACGTAACGCCAAAGAACTGAAAAGATTTAAATACGTTGGGATTCTTAAAAACAATCATAGTTATTTTCTATTATTTTACGGAAATCGAATAAATTTAAATGCGCAAAAACATATTATATATCCGCTTTTATCTTAGTAAAAATTTAAGTATCATTATTATAAATTACAAATACATTTTAAGTTACAATTAAGGAACTATTTTAAAGCATTTTTTTGCGTTTGAAAGTTGTGACAAAAATTAAATAAATAATTATAATCAATGAATTACACCATAATCACATTTATCGGGAAAACCCAAATGTTACGTACTGTTATCAGCATGGAGAAATTAAACTCTTACTTATCGCTCGTTCTAAAACAGTACACAACAAAAGACGATACCATATGTTAAATACAACAACAAAGAATACGATACTCACACCAGGGTTAATTAAAATTAATAAATTTTATTATGTAAATTATAAATTACCAAATTAAAAAGAAATATAATTAAAGCTATTGACTTACAGTACAATGATTGGATTGTACTGGTACAATGTTGAAGAAGATACAATGTTGTAAAAATGTACAATGATGAAAAGAAATCTAAACACACACAGTAAACAAATCTCCATCTCTGTCTCCTATAGCAAAACAATAGCACACGTTCAAAATAACCCTCGTCTGATCTGCCTCTCAATCTCTCGGCTTTATATAGTCTGTTTCATAGATACTTCTAGACGCCGGACATACGCAATGTAATCGTGGATTTGCACCTCGCCCAATCTGGTAGATTCTAAAGGATTCTAAAGACCATAGATTTTAGTTAGTTGTAACCGAGGTCAGGGGAAGACTATAATTAGTAAGCCACACTCTAATAATAGTGCAGCCGAATTGGGGTAAACTTAAGTTCATTCACCAGGAAAGATGAATGAAAGTACACGGTAAGCATATAACACAAGCTTCAGTTGTTTTTAGTGCGTTTTTAGTGCGTTTTTTAGTGCGTTTTTTTAGTGCGTTGTTAATATTGCGAAATAAAATTAAAATTAATTTGTTCTAAATAAACACGCAACTGACGTCATAGCGCGAATCGCCTATGTTAGCCAAAACTCTCAAGTTTCTTTGATGTAATAACCGCGCGTTACAAAACTAATAATGTATTTCCCCCGTCTTAGAAGTAAAATTAATGAAATGTTACATTAAGAAATGGCGTCAGCGGGGCGAGTCTAGACTCTTAAGCCCCCCCCCCCAATTACCCCTCCCCGGTCCGACGTATCGGGCCGTGGAGCGGCACGTTGGCGATGCCCACTCGTCAGGACGGCCCCCACACGGGCCCCTCACCCAAGTCCCTCACCTGAGCGCCTGGGCGCTCGACCAGGACCCCGTCTGGGGGCCGCCCCAACGAGGAGGCACCCGGTCGATCCAACACTATGCGTTTAAACAGTGCACTCGATCGACTTTCTCAGGAATTGGGATGGAACAATTTACGTCCTAATATCTTCCCCCACCCATCCCGGGAAAGCGTCGGACGCCCTATAAGAGGGATTCCACAGTGGGCTTCCACAACGCGACTAGTTCACGCTGTAGCTGGGATGAAACGGTTGCCTAGGGGCAGCGTTCTCACGGCTGCATTATTTGAATCCTCGGCCAGAGGTTACCACCCTCGCCTCTGGCCTCATACCCGCCAACGGCAACTTGTAATCATGATCCCTACCCTGGCTCTGCCTAACTTTCCGACTGTGAAATATCACAACCGGCAGCCCTGTGGGAGCTGTTTTATGTTTTAGGGCAAGTACCGAGCACACCCTTTGTCTGCCCACGCAGGGCGTGCCCAGTAGTTATGTTTCCAGGCAAACGCCGAGGGGGTCGGTGGCCGACACCTCCTAATCGGCAAGCCACAGCAGACTTGTCAACCGGAGACCTGGAATAATAATTTCTAATAAAATGCCTAAATGTTATTTATCAATTTTATTTACAAACTTACAGTAAGCTCAAACAGAATCAGAGACCTTAATTCATTTGAGTTTCCAGGGGTAAGCTTCGAAAGAGCGTCATGTTTTGAAAAAAATGTAAGAACGTTAAAAATATTGCTAATTTAACTCCTCTCGTTTTGTTTTATATGTTCAGAAGTATAATGCTGCCGTGACTCGATTAAAGATGGTGTCATTAAATAAGCATAAAATGTCTGGATAAAAAGATAGGATCCCGCTTGGGAGCACACAATTCCTGAGAAGACATGGTCAAGAGTCCTAAAGCTGATAATAACACACTTAAAATGTCTTGATAAAAAGATAGGGATCCCACATCAGACCATGATAGCACTTCCTGAGAAAATATGGTCAGAATCTTAAAGCTGATAATGACAAACTTAAGCCACGTATCATCTTAGGAGAATGATTGAAATCTGTGTACCATGCACAAGTCGTTTCAGTTTATTTTTGGTCTTTTTATAACATTACTGTTCTGCTATTGTTTAACGCTGTTGTTCTTTTAAGATAACATGTCATGTAATTTTGTATATTTTTGAAGGAGAAAACAGATACCAAAATACATTTTAAGATTTGAAGCAAACCTAAACGAACAAGAAAACCTCAGTTTTAATCTGAATTCTTATTTACTAAAACTAAAATGGTGATACATTTATTTGGATGAAACAAATCACCGCTGATTTCAGCTTGAAAAATATTGACATTTTCGTTTGTTTTAGATGGATCCTGTTCGACTGGCTTCATACAGATGTATCATGTGGTACAGCTCCTCATCCCTGTTGTCTTTTCCAAAATTGTCAAGTGCCGGGTTCCGCTACACACGCAACGGGTCAGTGGTCCGGTGTGACGGGTGTGGTAAAGCCAACGACCTGGAGGTCTTCGTACAAGACGGCTTCATGCCCGATCCTGGCCAGAGAGTGTTTCATGCCGACCACTGTGTATATATCAGTGAGGAAAACTGCACTGACTTCAATGATCACGACAGTATGAGCATCGAAGGAGGAATGGTTGAGGGGACCCAAAATTTGAACCATGGGTGCAACACCTGTTTTAATAGTACTGATTTAAAGGACACTTTTAATACTGGAGATGGCGAGGAGATTGTGTCCGTGGAGCAAGCACAGAAAATAAAAATTGATAATTTAAAAGAGTCAACAAATGGACGGGTACAAGTGGACGCATGTGACGTAACGATGACAGGGACAGACAGCAAATTTCAACACGGCGGTAATCAAACAGATAGCACGATACATCACGTAAGCCGCGTTGACATGCGTGCACCACCAATGTCAAACAATGGACAGGATGATGCTAGTAAGCAAGATATTTATCCTATTTTAACTTTAATTTTTAGCTTTGCCTAGGAAAGACGGGAAATATGTGTGCTCGAAGACACCGGAAAGTAGCTTATTTTAATTCTAATTCCACGCATAAGTATGTTGGTCCGAACAAATCCGATAAACTAGGAAACAGTTTCACGTCAAATGTATAGTAATTGTACAATTGGCCTCCGCCCTAAAGTTTGCGCTAGCGGCCTACCCTTGCTTCGCAACAGTTGTGGAGAGAATCAAAGGTATTATAAAACTACCTGAACATTTTAAGCATCTTAAATCGTAAAGGCATTCGTTTTTTGAAGACCTTAATCGTAGCAAAGTCACTATGATTGTCTGAGAAAGGAAAACAATTGTTATGTAGCAGATTTTGCAATGTAACAGTGGGGACGCAGGGTTGTATTAAAAAAACTCGGGGGATAGACTTCAGCGGCACGCATTGCCTAGGTAAGACGGGAAATATGTCTGCTGGAAGACACCGGCAAGTAGCATATTTTAATACTAATTCCACGCATAAGGCATTTTATACTCTGATGCCCTGAAGTGTATCCGTGGAATGCTTCTATTCCACAGTTTTCAGCCATGGCGCATACATACCAAACAATCAGCTTGCACTCAACGAAGTGATATTTTAAACTGTTTCGGAATGTTGCACAAAAGAGTTTCAGAATGATTTAAATTGAAAGGGAGTTTGGGAGCAGAGTGGGGTGCCTTTACACCACTCAACAAAGTTGCTGTTGTACATGAGGAGCCTTTCTAAATCGCGCGCATCAGACGCAACGATATTAACCGCCTCTACAAGTTCAGTTCAAATTTTTATAACTCTTTGAATAACTGCTCCAGTAATCTCAAATAATTCGTGAGAAAGTTCTCTTAGGTAGTCGCGATTGGACTAAGTTCATGAAACAGACGGTGAAGTGAGGCTAAAGTGCTTAATGGTTGGGTTAGACATCCAAAATAAGATGTGATTTTTTTTAAAATAGGAGCACTAAGCATACAAAATGTTGTAAACAAATAATATACCGACAGGGTTTCTGAATTAATCTCAACACCAAAAATGTCAAACATTTCAAAACATAAATAAAAAACACGAAAACAAAATCGTTTGCAAAAGAAACATGAGGGAAGCCGATATAGAACTCATCGCTGAGACCATTCCAGCTGGCGAACAACAGTGTATGAAGGAGTGAAAAAGGCAGAAGATGCGCTAAGCGAAGCCCTTGAAACAAAAATAGCATTACGGAAGGCAAAATCTAACCAGGAGTCAAGGTTCTGCAGCCGAGTTTGCCATTCTATGATTGATGAAGTGCCCAAAAGCTACTACTCCCTCGTCTCGCGAAGACAGAAAGATGCCATATATTATNCTTGCTCAGGGTCCATGAATGTTCAAATGAGAAACATACCATAATTTGTGTTTATTGATGAGACTATACTACAGCGGATATTGAGTTCCATAGTGTGGGGCGAAAAGGAGTTGTGTGTGTGTTATTATTTTACAGTAATGGTCGGAGTGATTCCAAAATCTGTTGCTATTTTTAATATAAAAAATTTTAAAAATGTTTGGACACTAAATCTTTAAACCTATGTGGTATCTATATGTCTTATGAAAAGTTTTTTTTTTTTTTTTTTAAATGCTGTCCGCTCTCCAATCAGTTGCAAATAGTACGTAACATGTTTTTATTACACTTTTCATATCATATCAAAATTATGTAGGTTCTCAAAAATTGAAATAACAAATATTTTACACTATTGATTTAATTCTGCTGCTTAGGTTGATTTTTAAAATCGATTTGCTTTTCTCTCACTTTCCAAAGGAGGGGGACATAGCTCTGGTGCATCACTAATGACCGACGCGGGCTATGTTTCCGATGATTCAGACCAAGTTTTTGGTGAGATCAATATGTCAACATCTGCATTTAAAAATATTCTGAATCATTCCCAGATCTTAAATTAGTGGAAATATTGAAGTGAAGCTAACCTTTTCAGAATACAAATCGTGTTTCTTAAAATTTTAATGTATTTAGCGTGGAATATTCTGTTAATTATGTTGTCTCAAGTAAAAGATATCCGAGATTTCCCCTCAGAAATTACATGAAATTTAGCAGTTTTCCCCACAGGTTGGGTAGTGTTAAAATACTGGTGTTATAAAAGCTCTTGAGGTTTGCAAAATAATGGGTAAAATGAATAATAATCAATCATAAAGTGTGATTGAATAATTCAAAACTGATCAATAAAGCCCTTAAATGGTTTACTTTCTTACGAGAAAACATTTTGATTAATTTTCAAAATCTCTAGTGTCGATTAATTGTTATAACCAATCTTCCTACAGTTGATAAAGGGCTATTTCGATTCGAATATGCTGACATTGGCAGTGTCAAAAATACTAAAACAATTCATCGATCAGAGTGTACAAAAAATCCAGGCCACTTTGCATATTTTCCCATCAATGGTATCAAAGAGGAACAAATCCCATCCAAGTGCAGACATCCAGAGTTTATCAAATTCCTGAATCTGCTCGCCATTCTCACCGTCAGAATTGTCATATCTGTCACAAGCAGAGATCGGAACAGGAATGACCCAGCACTCAGGCCTACCCCAGGAACCAATGAGCGTCGCTACAGAACTGGGACAGGGTTCGTATCATTAACAGAGCATGACGACCTTCCCGGCCAGAATGACCCGTTGGATGACAACCATCGCAGAACATGGGGGAATATTAAAAAGTATGTGAAGACCCTGGTGAAAAAGAACAAAGAACTGATTTATGTCGAGACCAACAGACACCTGGTGTTCAACGACGAAGAGGCCGCCAACACCACGGTGGAGTTTTTCTACGATGACCCCGGTCAGAAAGGGGTCAAGGTCATCAGAGGGGTCGGGGTGATCCACAGTAAGATCATCGGCGACCACAGGTCAATCCTCGTGTGCCAGACCTCGGATCACGACCTCCTCCATCAGCTGAACAGAACCAGGGAGGAGGCGTTGGAGCTGGCCGAGAGGTTACCGCGGAGGGCCAAAGAGGCCATGTGCAAGAAGCTGTTCATCATCAACCACCCACACGGCGGTGAGAAGGTTTTGTCCTACGGTGACTCGGTCATGGTCAAATATGATTTACAGAAGGACTCCAGGGGGAGGTTTAACATGACGAAGCTCAATAATCCCCAACAAGGTATGACTACTCTATATATTGTATCGCATGCCGTAGATCAATTTAAAGACAATAGCTAATCCAGAAAGGGAATGTCATGGCTAAGTTGACAGTAAATGACAGTCTAAATTTAAAAACAAAAGTTAACTTTTTGAAAAAAACGAGGCAAAGAAAACATTAAAGTAAAAATACTCTCCACAAATGTGTACACTAAAACATTATTTTTGTACTAATTAGTGATTTAGAGCTATGGTTCTTATATTATTTTTTTTCATTAAAAAATGAACTCTTGCCCCTTAACCCACGAAAAGTAAACATCATCGAGAAAAGCAGTTAGCAAGATCCACGTTAGAAGAAAAGAACACCCTCAATTTCTAATCTAAATACACACAAAAGAAGCTTTTTTCAATAATAAAGTCCTTAACGTGATAACTAAACCTTTTGAATAGCATAGTTTTGAGCAAAAGCTTTAGATATTTGACAATTTTTGCTATTTTTTGTTAAAATTCAGTGCTGAATTTTTTCTCTGTACAATTCCTGGAGTTGGTGAAGTGACAACGGTCGTAAAAATTCTAACTTAACAAAAGATTCAAATTCCAACCTTAAAAAATCTGAAGTCTATTTTTTTGCTTGCGGCAAAGTACGACGAACGACGTATAACTAACTGAGTGGCACCAAACACATAGTAGGAAACAAAATAACTCTAAATACGTAAATAGTGAAATTTGGTAACAAAATTAGAGCTGCTAAAATTATATTTTAAGTATTTGCATCACTTCCTTGCAAATGCAAATTATTATGACATAGAGATATTTTCTGGTATGTAGTCTTTAAATTTAATTTTAAGTAAGTATGGAATTTTTAAAATGTAATCCAGAAATATTGGACTATATTATTGTGTTAGCTCTACCCTCCGTACATTCCCTTTTTTGGCACTGAATAACCTTCCTGAAACTGTAAACCTATGTCAAAGTTCTAAGTAGAGGCCCTCAATTTTTTGAGTCACGGTGCCCCTTGCCGTATTACCGAAGCGCCCTATATTAAGTTCTTACAACCCTCAATATTTAATAAAAACTAATTTATTTTCAACAATACAAATCAGAAGACATACTTATTTGGCATCACCTGACTTAAGCGCAACATTATTCAGTTGGTATAATCACCAAACAAGAAACAGATACAGCATTAAGAAATCGTGAAACACGAATTCAAAGTATAAGATAAGTTAGCGAAACCACTGACCAATGGGTAAATGTGATCTAGAGATAAATACTGGGTGGAAATAACAACTGAATATTAATTAACGGAAATATAAAAATCTATCTTTGAAACGCCTATTTGTCGTCTAAAAGTATTGAAATAGCAATTAGCATTTTGTTACTTGCCAATATAGGGGCGTAAGTGACTTCTTTCGACAGGGAGAGGGATAAACCTTAGCCACCCTTTGAACACTCATCGAGTATGGGTCATTAAAAAAATTATCTTGACCTTATTAGCGGGTCCTGACCCTGGGGCCTCCCAACAACCACCACCCCCCTGGCCAGATACCCCTTTTTGACCTAGACATTGTTTCTATTGCCTCAATGTCGTCTTGTTTCTATTCGTCGCCAAGTGGCAGACAAGGACAATGTGAGAAAAGTTTTGCTGTATGCAGCGGATACCTGTGAGGGGTCATCGGGCGCCCCCATTTTCACGTTTAAAAGAGGGCCCCCTGACCACCAGGGTCAGCCGACACTGGTACTAGATGTCTGGATGCACAACGGAGTGGACAAAGCTCACAGCCTAGGGGGTTCTGTCATGAAAGGTAAACATAGACGAGGTATCTATAGACATGAATTCCCGTTCCTCTATGTTAAAATAGGGATAATATGAAACTAGTGGCTCAAAGACCAGATCTTTGATTGCAGAGAAAAAAAGTAGCAAGTCAAAGAGTAACGAGGCTCATAGAAATATGTAAGAGTCATGCAGGACGTACGTCCACTCCCATAAGAGATCGAAGACGCAGACTATTTGTTAAACAAAAATTGATTAAGAAACTTTCCCCTAAAAATACAGATAATACATCAGACGCTATGGGGCATTATATGCAATATCACTAACAAAAATTTTTAAGGGGTAATTTTTTTATCGCATTTTATCACATCATTAAAAAAAACGATTTTTAAAAAAAGCTACACGTTATTTTACCCGGACCAAGAGCAAAGTCAATGGCGTGATGAAACACGAGATGGACTTTCATACAGGATGTCACGTTAAGAACATACTTGGAATTTATACCCTAATACTAATATAAACCAAACTTCCTGACTTGTATCCTGTTGGGACTTTCTCAACCTTCAGACTTACTTTCAGTGTAACCAATGTCAGACACGACACGTGCCACAATTGTTAATTTTTTTTAGTTTAAAAAAAATTATAACCAATCGGTTAACGGTTTAAAAATAGAAGGAAAAAAAAACAAGTTTGAATTATTACCTACCTGCAACCTCTTCCTAGATCAGTGTATAAATCTGCAAGGGTCACGCCGACTTCTCATAATATTAAATAATATATCACAATGTGTCCAATTAGTAAAAACGGGAAAATCCTAAATAGCTTTGTAGTGAATGTTGTCATTTAATAGCATGTTAAAGTAATTTAGCTTTCCACTCATAAGTGTCAGTTGAGACCCGAATGTAAACAAAACAATGATAAGATTGGGATGAGCCGTGGATACTTTGAGAAGGAAACTATGGTTTACTTAACTCATTCTCTTGGTGACGCTGTCAAATCAATTGAGAAAAAATAACAAAACAATTTTTTTTTATTTTTAGTCAAACCGTACAAGCAGGCATTTGCAATCCACCAACCGTGTCATTAATCAAGAGATGCTAGATGATAAGGAGCTTTGTGGATAGTTTGATCACAGTTAATTAAACATCGAAAAAAACCAACAACTAGATTTTTACACTTTGACAAGAACTTCACCCAAAACCCATTTTAACATATGACATTCCTCTCATCCCTTACATACCACTAGTCCCACACGTCCTACTCATGACATACAACCCACACAACCCACACATCCAACAGGTCACACACATCACACACATAGCACACGTCACACACGACCCAACACATGTGTATGTCGTATTCGAAAAACAGTAACCCATGACCATTTTTTTTTGGTAGTGTGCTCACCAGACGACTTTGTAGTCCAGCAATCTCAGGACACGGCCCATCAGTCAGCTGACAGTGATAACGAAGAGGGTCCTGGGCACCAAGAGGTGACCTCCCCTGTGTTCAAAGTACTGAGCCATCCATCATACCCGGTGTATATCACGTACCAGAAGCGTATGGAAAGTTATGTGTCCTGGGTGTTCTCACAAATTCACTCCCCTGAATACCTTGCCCAGGCCGGATTTTTCTACGCAGGTATGGCTCTTTGTGTATGATTATAAGAAATATTTCTAGTCAGGTACAGGTCTCACAATATTATTATATGAAAAACATTTTGGTATTTTTGAATGATGATATTAAAAGTATATTTTAACAGGTACAGGTCTTTTTTTAATGATTATAAGAAATAATCTTTTGCAGGTAGAGGTATTTGTATATGATTATGTGAAATATATCAATGCAGGTAATGCAGGTAGATGTCTTTGTGTATGATTATATGAAAAAATATCAAGGCATGTAGAGGTTTTTGTGTATGATAATATGAAATATATCAAGGCAGGTAGCGCTGTCTTTGTGTATGATTGTGATTGAATGAATTCATATGCAGGTATAAGGCCCCGGGTTTGATTTATCAAAATAAATTTCAATTTGTTTCCCAAGTAAACAATCAACAACTATTCATTAGCTCATCAGAAAAATGGTGCAACACTATTTTATTTTCATTTGTAAATGTTTGTTAATATATTTTATAATGAAAGTGTGCAATAATGCATATATTTACAAATGTATCTACACATACATTTTTGCTTGACATGTTTCTCAGGCTACTCGGACTGTGTCCGGTGCTTCCAGTGTGGTCTGGGCCTGAGGTCTTGGAAGGCCGGTGATGATGTTTACCAACAGCACCAGAAACACAGACCAAATTGTCCATATTTACAGGCCCATGGAAAACCCGTCGGTGAACACAACCACACTGAGGCGAATAGGACAGCGGAGAGTGAAACCGGTATACCTGCTGTTTCAAAAAAATGTCAGCATGTTTGTTTAGGGAAAGATAGAAATATTAATATAGTTAAGGATGTAAATTGCATGACACATGTTACGACTGTATTTTTCGTTATTTAAAATGTATCAAGATTGCAACCCAGTTAAAACACTGTTGGTTTATTTCATTTTATTTTCTCTATTGCTAATTCAAAGGTAACGAACTTGACGTCACAAAGAACACGACCCTGACATTGCTCGAGAAGGAAAACAGTAAACTGCAAGAGCAGCTGACGTGCAAAGTGTGTCACAAACAGCCCATCAAGGACCTGTTCCTGCCGTGCGGGGAGCTCTATGCGTGCACCGAGTGCTCCAAGCTGCTGACCCACTGCCCGTCTTGTAACAAACAGATCCTGGCAACGGTTACCACGTATTTCAGCTAGAGCTCGAGGTCAGTTCTTATCCGTGTTCAACGATGAGGTTGTCGTCTGGCATGTCCGGTAAAAAGAAAAACACGGCTTGCCGGAGACAGACTTATTCAAAACAGACTTCTAAGATAACAATCATTTGGCTACATTTCTATTTCTATTATTGCAGATTATATTTTTTCTTTTATGCTCCTTTTTTTTTTAGTTGCCATTCATGCATGCATTTGAAATTAGACCAACCATTACACATTTATAAAGTAGTATTCTAGTTACACGGCTAAGGCACAATTTAATCATTGCTGCACTATGAAGATTATATCTAAACACCTAAAGATTATATTATTCTATACATTTGACAGGGATGTCCATGAAGTAATCTTGACTTCCGCCAACTCCATGAGTGGACTGTGAAGTCAAACAGAAATGTGACCCTACACAAAGCATCAGGCACGCAACGTCCTCTTCAAAGTCACAAAATACGCTGAGGCTCTAAGGGAATTGAGACTTTATCGTTGAAGTTAACATCTAATCAGTTCATCAAAACTTAATGCTAAAAATTTAACTTTTTCAATATCTAACGGATAAAATTGAAACTTGCAGCAACTTTTTTTAAAAATCAGAGCACAATGCATGTCAAGCATTTTAAACAAAATTCAATTTTCCCACCGACCTCTCTTTGCTCGTAGTTTGAAAATAATCAATTTGTTTTGTTTTTTTCGGCGAATTGCAAGACAATTAAGGAGCTACTGCTTCCTCTAGAATGATATACCCAATATATTGATGTGCCTTTGTTTAGAGACTGTCTTACAATAAAAGCCTGCGTGTATAAATATATATTACGTTGTTCACCATGGCGAAGTTACGATGGATCTTTTGCGTAAATAATGAAAACCAGAAGAAGATTAGTGGATATAGTCTTCCAATACGAACGCAGCCATTGTCATGGTGATGGCGACGTTATAAACATGTAGGGTGGTTGCCCTTGGCGCGTTAGATCTAAGCTGTTAAGATGGCGACGTTATCAACATCCATGCTGGTTGCCCTTGGCGCGTTAGATCAAAGCTGCTCAAGATGGCGACGTTACAGGAAAACGGCTCACCGTGCTACCACGCGGTAGCGGCACGCACGCCGTGCTGTACTCTTCACCGGTTCAAGGTACGGTTTCTTTTCGTCTGTCGAGTTGCATGGCCGTGCAGGCTCTTGTACGGGTTTTATACGTCTGACGAGTTGCACGGCCGTGCAGGCTCTTGTACGGGTTTTATACGTCTGACGAGTTGCACGGCCGTGCAGGCTCTTGTACGGGTTTTACACGTCTGACGAGTTGCACGGCCGTGCAGGCTCTTGTACGGGTTTTATACGTCTGACGAGTTGCACGGCCGTGCAGGCTCTTGTACGGGTTTTACACGTCTGACGAGTTGCACGGCCGTGCAGGCTCTTGTACGGGTTTTACACGTCTGACGAGTTGCACGGCCGTGCAGGCTCTTGTACGGGTTTTACACGTCTGATGAGTTGCACGGCTGTGCAGGCTCTTGTACGGGTTTTACACGTCTGATGAGTTGCACGGCCGTGCAGGCTCTTGTACGGGTTTTACACGTCTGACGAGTTGCACGGCTGTGCAGGCTCTTGTACGGGTTTTACACGTCTGACGAGTTGCACGGCTGTGCAGGCTCTTGTACGGGTTTTATACGTCTGACGAGTTGCACGGCCGTGCAGGCTCTTGTACGGGTTTTACACGTCTGACGAGTTGCACGGCCGTGCAGGCTCTTGTACGGGTTTTCGCTGGATTCAGAAAGTACGTTATTTTTTATTATTTGTTGTTTTTTTTTTGCACAAGACACCTGTTCTACACTGTCCGTATAGTAAATTAAAAGTTGCACACCAAGAAGCGTATATTCTATTGGCCCGTTCAAAATGACAAAGTTTAGGATCGGTATGCCATCTAAATATAGAAAATGAGCGCGGTTTTCATTTAATATCATTTATTGTTAATACCAAGAAGGCGTAGTGAGGTAGTGACGACTTCCATTAGTAAACCATACTTGAACATTACACATCCGTTTGTGAAATTCTTAACCAGATCTTAGGTGTTAGTAGGTTTTCGTTTTATTTCTATTAAATAATTACATTTATATTTAAAATAAATACCAATGACCAGCATCAGTCACTACTCATTATATATTACTACGGCGCCGTTTAACTCCATTTAAAATGACACATCACACCTAGGACTCTAACAGTTATTTTTGTACCGCACAATTATTAGACGAAAGTCTTGCTACAGACTAAATGTAAGAAACAACGAAAAACACAAAAAAGTATTTTTAAGACTAAAAAAAAATATGTACGAAGAATGTAAATAAATTTACATTTATTTTGATCAATAAAAGTATCTTATCTTATGCTATTATCATCTTATAACAATAATATAATAATAATTAGTGGTCTTTTATAGTGCGGTACCCCAGCCTAGGGCTGGGCTCACCGCGCTGTACATAAAAATATTAATAAAAAGAGACATACTCATGACACTTATCTTATCTTATCATCTTATCTTATCATAATTTTACGCGTTACGAATTCTAAAATTAAAAGCGGGAGATATTTCCTTCCTTGTTGAATTATTATTGTTTAAAAAAAAAAACACGAAATCATTAAGTATTGTAAGCAATATTTTATTATTTTTAAAATATATTATTTTACTCCCTTTAAAAACGTTCAATTAATATGTCATATTGACATATAGCATACAATTTAAATTTTTTTTAAATTCATGAACCTTTTCTCAAATTATGGTAAACAATGAGCAGATAAGTTGACGGTAAACAATGAGTAGATAAGTTGACGGTAAACAATGATCAGATAATTTGACAGTAAACAGTGAGTAGATAAGTTGACGGTAAACAATGAGTAGATAAGTTGACGGTAAACAATGATCAGATAATTTGACAGTAAACAGTGAGTAGATAAGTTGACAGTAAACAATGAGTAGATAATTTGACGGTAAACAGTGAGTAGATAAGTTGACAGTAAACAATGAGCAGATAAGTTGACGGTAAACAATGAGGAGATAAGTTGACGGTAAACAATGAGCAGATAATTTGACAGTAAACAGTGAGTAGATAAGTTGACAGTAAACAATGAGTAGATAATTTGACGGTAAACAGTGAGTAGATAAGTTGACAGTAAACGATGAGTAGATAAGTTGCCAGCAAAGAATGAGCAGATAATTTGACAGTAATCAGTGAGTAGATAAGCTGACAGTAAACAATGAGTAGATAATTTGACGGTAAATTATGAGCAGATAAGTTGACTGTAAACAATCAGTAGATAAGTTTACAGTAAACAATTAGTAGATAAGTTGACGTAAACTATGAGTAGATAAGTTGACGGTCAACTGAAGCCAATAACTTTGTCAAGACGGGCGTTAGTTATGTTACCTCGTTAATTTAAACTAGAATAAATGACCCGATGTTATCGGGATAATATTGGTAGATCTTTTGTGATAACTTCTAACTGCTATTTCTAAGCTCATCACAATTCATAACTTTAAAGATGTAATGATATTTACGTTTCTAACACCATTAAGTTTTGAGAAGTATTTATCTGCTATATATTATAGGTCTACCCTATACGCTCCTAACGTACCCCCCCCCCAACCTCTAAACATGACCTTAAATTACACAGTCTAAATTATCACTAATTATATCACCTTTGTCACTAAAGAAGTTAACTGAGGGACAATTACTACGTTAGAGAAATACTTTAGATCTAATACTTTTTGTGCCCTTGAATTACAGCATTTTTTTCTCTAAAAATTGTTTTAAAACACTTACCTTAAATTTACACTAAAAACTCGATANTATATATATTATATATTTTATAAATTTTTGCTGATTTTTGAAGATATCAATATATATCGAATTCCTATAATATATATATATATTATAGGAATTCGATATATATTGATATCTTCAGCAAAAATTTAAACGCATTTTTTGCCTTTTAAAAAAAAAAATATATATTATCAGAAAATCGTAAAACAAAAAATTATTTTATCTAAAGAAGAATCGTGCAATCATTTTTCACGTCTATAACAGATTTGAGTGCTGTTTTTAAAAAATTCAAATGGTTAATCTCATACGATACACATCTCTTTACCTTTTGCAAAGTAAAAACAAAAATAAAATTTTTAAGTTTTTGAAATTACATATTAACCCATATCTATTTTAAAAAAAATATTTTTCAAGTGTGTAAAATGATTGGGTTTTGATATTTATGGGTATACTTATATAAATGTACCCAATATTTGTTAACGCCATGGATTTTCTTAATTGGTAAACATATGTATATTTGTAAAAAAGAGGACGTAACATCTTTTTTTTCACATATGTTATATCATAGGAGTTAACTATGTTGTCATCCACGTAAAAATGTATACATCTTATTTCCTACGAAATTTATTTACCCAAGAAAATTAATTATTTATCAAAATCATTCCTTTATTTTGAGACATTTCTTGTGCTGCCTTGAGCAAAATGAACATACACATATTTTGTAGAAAGAGAATGCAACATCTCTTTTTTTTCTAAAATTTAATACCATAGGATTTAAATATATTTTCATTCCAGGTGAAAATGTACACATCATATTTCCTACCACCGACATGTATTTACCCAAGAAAATTAATTATTTATAAAAATCATTCCTTTATTTTGAGACGTATCTTGAGCTGCCTCGGGCAAAATAAACATTCCCATATTTGTAAAAAGAGAATGTAACATCTCTTTTTCACAAATGTAATACCATAGGATTTAAATATATTGTCATCCACGTAAAAATGTACACATCCCATTTTCCTACCTCCGACATGAATGTACCCAAGAAGGTTAACTATTTATCAAATTCATTCCTTTATTTTGAGAAGTATCTTGTGCTGCCTGGGGCAAAGTAACCAACCCCTAATATGGTTCGTTCCTTTTTGTTTTAGTTATAAGGGGTTAGTCAATGCTATATGGCACTGGAGTTGTGCTGGACTGTTTGACTCCAACCGCATTTTCTTCATTATCATTAAAGATTAATTTTTATTATGTTATAATTTTAATAAATGTATACTTTTGGAATAAAAAAAGGCAAAACTTTTAAACATTTTAAATGTTAAAATATACACAGCTGAAATGTGTGTGTGTTTTATTAAAAATTTCAAAAGCAATCAATTGTATTGATTAATTTTACTTTTAAGATGGGATAAAACATTATCATGGTTATTAAATTTAAAGAAAACTAAGAGTTTTGTAGAAATAGGCTATTCGCGCTATGACGTCATTTGCATACTTATTTAAAATTACTTAGAACAAATTAATTTAGAATTTTATTTCGCAATATTAACAACGCACTAAAAACGAATGATTGGTTTTTCCCGATAAACGTGATTGCGTTGTAATTCTTTGATCATGATTTTTTTAAATTTTTATTTTTTTTTCATAACTTTTAAACACAAATAAAATGCTTAAAATAGTTCCTTAGTTGATACTTTAAATGTATTTGTAATTTATAATAATAATACATAAACGTTTACTAAAATAAAAGCGGATTTAAAATATATTTTGCACATTTAAATTTATTCGATTTCCGTAAAAATATAGAAAATAAATATGATTGTTTTTAGGAATCCGAATGTACTTAAATAGTATCTCCCCTTTGGCGTTATGTCATTCTATCTCATTCTGATAAATATATATATATATATATATATATATATATATATATATATATATATATATATATATATATATATA